AAAAAAAAAAAAAAAAAAAAAAAACACTAGATGGACTTGCCTTTCAAGAATCTTATTTTCACTTTACAGAATTGGCCGTAATATCTTAATTAGGAAATAGTCTCAAACAGCGGAAGGTTCTTGAAGAGTCACCTGTCACTGTTCTGGAAATTCTTGTGGATGTCTAACTAAACCTTTATTACTGTTTATACCATAAAAGTCAAATCACTTTCATTTCAGGCAGGCCAATCTTCCACGTCATCTGCAAAGTTGTGTTTGATCACAATGTGTCCATCCTTAGCTAGGTAATGTGAGTTTGTGTGAACTGAAGATTTCAGATCCTGTAACCAAGAGAAGCTACTAAAACTATCTTGCCATCCATCAATGATTAATGACATTGATAATCTTTACCCAAAGTTTTGGAATTCACAGCCTGGGAAGCAGTTAGGTTACTTCTCTGTACCAACTCAAGTGTTGGCACTGACTTCCTATTAAGGCAACCATGATGCCAAAAAGCATCCTATGCTATATTATTTATACTGTAACTAGCAACCCAGGAGAACTGCTCAAGACAAGTCTTTGTGTACCTTCCACATAGTTAGACATCCTTTTTAATATGCCTCAGAATGTCTGGCCTGGGCAGACCTCCAAGGGCCAATAGGAACACAGCCAGGAAGAAGAGGAGCTTCATTCATGAAGTCACCCATTCACAGAGTATCTTTTTCCTTCTCATCCTTTCTCTGAGAAGATACTCAAGCCACACTTACCTGGTCTGGATCATCTCAGAATATGTCAACTTCCATCTATTTTGCAAGTCTAAAGTAAGTCATTATAATTACTTTTATCTCTTCTAGAATAGCTAATTCATCAGTATGTCCCTATCTCTGTACTGTAGATATATTCCCTATATATCTGCTTATCAGGTCAAGTCCTATGCAGTGAACTTTTGTTTTTTTGTTTTGTTTTCTTTTCTGGGTACCGGGATTGAACTTGGGATGGTTAGGGACCTGACACCTCCGCCATCACAGGCTGTATTCTCCTGGTTCTTCTTGCCTCTTAAAATGAACTCATGCTCTTATCTTTAGTTTCCCTGCCCACAAGGCCACAGCAGTCTGGAGAAGTTAAACCTCAGTTTCTGCAGGACTGAACCCATAAATGGTAACCTGGCCTGTGATAGGTTAAAAGTAGCTCACTCCTCATAAGTAAGCAATAGTCCAGCCCAAAACAATAAAATAACCTTTTTTTCTCTGTCTTTGTCATCTCCCTCCTCTTCTCCCTCTTCCCTGTGCCTGTACATTGGTGTCAGAGGTGGGATCTGGGACTGCCAGTGCCTTCACTGAGGGTCAGAGGCCTGAAACCCAAGACCCCTGACACGCCAGCTAGCCCACCCGAAGTCCATGACCATCTTCCCTGATGCCACCCCAGCAAACACTACCAGCAAAATCAACTATGCTGCTCTAGGCTCTGGGTAAGTCTTCCCCGTCAGTTGTCCGGAGGGTGCGGGGGTAGACTCAGACTCAGGTGGCCAGGAAAGAGAATTCCATCCAGAATGTGAGCCAGGTACCAGGCCTCACATCTCCCATCATTGTGAGCCTCCCAGGTTCACAGGGACAAGTCTGGGACTTGCCCATTCCGCCCCCACCTCTCTTGGGATGCCTCGAGAAAGTGGCACGGCCCTCCTCCTCCGGACCCCCTCCTCATGGTAGAGATGTCTCCATTTAGAGTTTGGGTCCCCTCCTTCTAGGTTCGGAATCTAGAAAGACTACTGGTGACTTCCAAATCTCAAGAGACGTCTTGGGACTCAGACTTCACCCCCAGTCTCATTCCTGGGAGCTATGGGCCCCGGCTCTTCCACACCTGTGGACTCTCCCTTGGGGTGCTTGCTCTGAAATCTGGAGGGTTTAAACGTAAAACGTGAACGGCTAATACGCCTATCCACTCAAATCTGGCCTCGATATAAATTAGGTAACCAAAACGTGTGGCTGCCTTAATCACTCACTTGAACCTGGTCTAATTCCAGACCTTTATAACTTCTATGAGCATCAAGGAAAATGGCTGGAGATTCCATATGTTCAGGGCTTTTGTCATCTCCGCAGCCAGCTCTCTCTTTGTTTTCTGACTCAAAAGCAGCCTCCCCTCCCCAAACTTTTAGTGGCTTGAGATATCTCTGCTTCCACTACTCTTTCTTTCAACTCCTCAAACCAGAGAGATCTGGCTGATGATCCTCCTCCTTATCTTGGAAAGCAGGCCCACCCCTCAACCTCCTCTCTGGACGACTCCTCTCCTTCCACTCCCTCCCTTGTCTCTACCTCACCTTCCTCCACTCTACTTCCTGGGCAGACTCCTCCTCTCACCTGCTCTAAATCTCATTTTATACTCGGCTAATCCTGTGACTTTCGGCGCACAATTTCAGAACAACCCAACCTAGGAGTTGCTCAAGCTTTGGCCCTGTGGCAATCTGCTGCTAGTGAAAACTATTTAGTTTCGTTAACACTTCTTTTGCATTGCAAATTGTTGAATTTCAATTATAGGGTTAACTTGCTCTTTTCTAAAAACTCGAGGTTAATACCGTTCTATTGGCAGCCAGTCAAATTTTAAGACATATCAAGCTGAGAACAGAAAAAGGACACTTTAAGATTTTAACAGCTGAAGTTTGTAATAGAAGGTTAATATTAAAGGAGACAGAAAAAATATTGGGAAAGCTATAAGTAAGAGTTATACTTTTGACATACATGACTTTTTTGTATGTTTGTCTTGTTACAAACAGGTAAAGAAAGACATACAAGACCAGAAGGCCTAAGTATGCAGAAAAGGGGTGAGAATGTATGCTTACTTGTGGTTTCAAATTTGTTATAAAAGGTTTACAAATAATTCATTAATTTCTAAAACCCAGTTTTATAAATTAAAATCTTAGGTCTGGATAGACTCCTGTTAATGCTAAAAAGGACAGCTGCTCAGAAAAAAAATCCGTTAATTTACCATAATCTCTTTGTCATCCTTACCAAGGCCTTAACCCCTGAGGAGGGCTGAAGAGTGCTGGAGCAGGCACGCGCCCTTGCTGATCAAGAACATTTAACAAATAACCACCACCCAGTAGGTGGCACTGCCGTGCAGGAGCAGGACCCAGACTGGGATTACAACCGCAAGATGGGTATCAAGGCCCGGGACAGGTACATTAATTGTTTGCTCCATGGGCTAGGCAAAGCCACCATGAAATCTATAAATTATGATAAGCTTAATGAAATCATACAGGACAAAAATGAAAACCCTTCTGCCTTCCTGCAAAGGCTGACCGATGGCCTCTGTCAGTATACTAAACTGGACCCTGAGTCTGTTGATGGCCAGCGGCTGGTCATGATGCATTTTTTTCTCTCAAAGCTACCCTGACATTAGACTTAAATTAAAAGGCTTAAGAAGGAACCCCTAACTCCTCCTTCTGAGGTTTTGGCCATGGCATTTAAGGCCTATTATGGCCATGATGATCTCAAAACCACAAAAAGGTACCAATTACTAGCATAGGCCATCAATCCTACCAGGCCACAATGGCTTCATAACAGGGGACCCTTTAATAAGAGACCCTCTCACCCACCGGGACCCTGCTTCCATTGTGATCAGGAGGGCCACTGGGCCAAGGAGTGCCCAAACCCAAGCCTTCCACAAAACCCTGCCCAAAATGCAAACAGAGTGGACATTGGGGTTCTGACTGCCCCCTGATGTCCACCCATCATTGGGCTGCCATCCCCACCATTCCCCCAAATGACCTCATCGGTCTCACAATGGCAGAGGATCTATGAAGAGGCCTTAGGATTCCCGCTCAGGAGCCCAGGGTGACTGTCATCGTGGCAGGTAGGACGATCGCCTTTTTACTCGACACTGGTGCCAGTTTTTCTGCACTGTAAGAATATTGGGGGCCCACCTCCCTGTCTCGGACCTCTGTTGTTGGGGAAGGAGGTCAAAAACAACGCCTTCGACCGACTCATCTCCTGTCGTGCACAACTGGTGATTTTTCATTTCTCCATTCCTTCCTAATCCTCCCTTCTTGTCCTGTTCCTTATTGGGTCACAACATCCTCTCCAAAATTGGCACCTCCATCCATTTCACGACACGGGACCCCTCCAGCACTCCGATGTCTTCCCTTTGCCTTTTGTTGTCCCAGGCTATCGAACCCCAGACTCCATCATCCAGATGGTCTGACCCTGCCTAGGTAAATCCCTGGGTGTGGGACATTCAATCCCCCTCAGTGGCCACATGCCCTCCGGTTAAGACCTTCCTTAAAAACCCTACATACTTTCCAACTCAGGCTCAATACCCCTCCCTCTTTCTAGCCTAAACAGACTGGCTCCAATTATCAAAAGTTTATTAGAAAAGGGATTTTTGAGGCCTGCCAATTCCCCACACAATCCACCCATCTTAGTGGTCAGAAAGCCTAATGGGACATATCCGCTAGTTCAGGATCTCTGCATCATTAATACGGCTGTGGTTCCAATCCACCTTGTTGTCCCCAATCCATATATGCTCCTGTGTTCTATTCCATCTAATCCCACCCATTTTTCAGTCCAAGATTTAAAAGATGCCTTCTTCTCCATTCCTTTACATGCAGATTCCCAAGAACTTTTTGACCTTACGTGGACTAGCCCTTCCACTGGTGTCTCCACACAACTAACCTGGACTGTCGTACCCAAGGGTTTTGAGATAGCCCCCATCTGTTTGGCCAACTCCTAGCTCATGGTCCGTCTCTTCTCCAGCTTCAAGGTTCACAATGTATCCAATATGTAGATGATCTTCTCTGTGCCCCTTTGATTACTATACTCCAACAAGATACTTACATATTTTAAAATTTCATTTCAGAAAAGGGATACTGAGTCTTGCCAACCAAAGTTCAACTCTTTAAACAATAGGTCATACACTTTGGGCTGTCTCTATTTCCTGGGCTTCGATACCTCAGGTCTTGGATCCCAAATTATTCCCTTCTAGCTGCCCCCCTCTATGAGGCCTCTAAGGGAAACCCATACGAACCGGTAAATTCCTTAATAGCTACTCCCTTTGCCCATCTCAAATCCTGCCTATTAGAGGCTCCTGCTTTACACCTACCTGATCTTTCTCGCCACTTTTACCTCTATGTGTCAGAGAACAAGGGATCTGCACTAGGGGTTCTGGGCCATCAAATGGGGCCCACTTTTGCTCCAGTGGTTTACTTGTGCAAAAGGTTGGATCCCACTGTCAGAGTCTGGGCCCCCTGTCTATGAGGCCTAGGTGCCACATTCCTCCTAGTGCAGGAATCAGAAAAGCTCACGTTTGGGTCCCCAACTGTCATCCAGTCTCATCATTCCATTTCAGATCTGTTAAACTACAAAAACCTACATAGCTTACCCCCTTGCAGAATCTTGTCTCTTCAGACCACACTTCTCCACGACTCCTCGTTAACCTTCCAGCTTTGTCCTGCTCTAAATCACTCTGCCCGATTACCAGCTTCCAACCAGGGTCCTCTCCACGAATGCTTAGAAACTTGAAACCCTTTCACCTCATGATTCCCATATACAGGAAGGACCCCTCTCTTCCCCTGATTTCATTTGGTTCACAGATGGCAGTTCTCTTGTTCGAAACGGGTCCAAATGGGCAGGATATGCTATTGTGTCACAGTCTGGAATTATTGAGCAAGGACCATTGCCTTCCCACGCAAACACCCAAAAGGCAGAACTTATCACTCTCACTCGCACTTTGACTCTGGCTCCAAATATGCTTTCCACATTTTTCTCTCTCACATAGCAATTTGGCGGGAAAGAGGGTTCTGCTCAACCATGGACAGCTCTGTTCAAAATTCCAAGTTCATCTGTAAGCTCTTACAGGCCTCTAGGTTGCCCACAGCAATTGGCATCATACACTGCAGGGCCGATCGTTCCGATCCATCGGAGATAACTGAGGCCAATAACAAGGCTGATCGTACAGCAAAAAGAGCAGCTCTGGCTTCAACCGTGCTTGCCGTGATGGATACCCACTAAATTGACCAGCACAGTCAGATAGAAAGCCTCACACAAGATCAACTCACATATCTTCATAAAATTTTGCACCCTGGCTCTGGGGCCCTACTTACTCACTTTCCTAGAACCACTGACCACTCTCTTCCCCTCCGATAAGCAATTCCTTCAGATTCTCCTCCACCTGCACCTGCAATATATGCCAAAAGACCAATCCCTCCTCAAGACCTGCCTCATTTCCCACACATCGGCAAGGTGCCTGCTACCTGCCATGGATTGGCAAACTGATTTCACACACATGCCTGAGAAAAGAAGACATAAATACCTGCTAGTTCTGGTAGACACCTCTTCTGGGTGGGTTGAGGCCTTCCCCACTACAAATAAACGTGCTTTCACTGTTTCTGTCCTCCTCCTCAAAGAAATCATACCTAGGTTTGGACTTCCTACTATGCAGTTTGATAATGGTCCTGAATTCACCTCTCAGGTAACCCAAGGCCTTACAAAGCTATTAGGAATCTCCTGGCATTTTCATATCCCATTCCATCCTAAATCATCGGGAAAGGTAGAACGGACTAACAGGTCCATCAAGACCATTCTCACAAAGTTGAGCCTAGAACTCCATCCACACCAATTGGATCGCCCTCCTTCTGCTCGCCCTACTCAGACTTAGATCCCTGCCTAAGGCCCCCCTCCAGATTTCCCCTTTTGAATTGATGTTGGAAGCCCCCTGCTGCCCCCAGGATTGACTCCCCAGTCTCTCCATTGCCCCCCGGCTTACTAACCCCATTACTTAACTGGGTCCGATTCCAAATATGGCCACATGCAGATACACTGCTGCCGTCCCTGCTCCCTGCACTGCCGATTACCTATCACCCAGGAGACCTGGTTCTCCTGGCTCCACCACATCAACAGAAAGACCCACTCAATCCTAAATTTCAGGGACCATTCACAGTTGTCCTTTCAACTCCGACAGCGGTTAAACTTAATCCCTTCCCAGATGGTTCTATTGCTCTCGTGTTAAATCATATCTTCATGCTCCTCTCCCAGTCATATCCACAGGACCTCATCTATGCTATTCAGCCACCCCCACGGGACCTCTGAAGGTCAAACTTTCTCAGATTCCAAAAGACGTGGTTGCCCAGGATCCTTCACCATCATCCAGTCCCAAGTCAGATAAACCAACCTGTTCTACCCTCTTGTTCTCTCATGCGGTATTCTGACACATTCCACACTACAGCACTCACTGGTATCCTAAGTGTTCTTATATTAGTACTCCTGGGACTTGTCCTTGGAATAGGATTGGCCATAGTATCTCCTCCCAATTACAATTTTACCTCCAGGTGTCTACTCACATTGGCCTATTACCTCATAATCTCACTCTTTGCCATTCTTTATTGCTGGACACAATAATGGTTCCTCTCCTGCTCCTGTTTTCTCTCCTAAACCTTACCCAAGCCAAAAGACCTGCAGTGTGCACTCCCAGCCTTACTCAGCCCTCCTTCAGACCCAGGTAGGATCTCCTGACTTTACATTCCAGGTCACCTTGTGCCAATTCTTTGACCAAACCCCATCAAATTCCTGCCGCTCTTCAGACTGGCCCATGGCTGATTTCTGCCGTCCTTTCTGTATCTACCTATGCCCCACCACTGGCCCTACACACTGCCATTCACCTGGACAGCCCAATTAGATCAACAAATCGTCTTTCCTCCAACTTGTTAGATAATCCTCAGCCCTTTAAGATGAACATCACAGTCAAAGATCCCACTGATCCATCATGGCAGTCCGGAAGGACGTGGGGTCTCAGGCTTTACGTGAAAGGGATGGATCCAGGTTCACAGTTACCATCACCTGCAGGTCTTGGATACCCGGGACTGCTTCACCCCCATCCGTTATCCAAGTTGTGCATAATGTTTCACCAGAACTCCACCACTTGGACCGATCCCTGGCCCAACTTATAAGGCAAGCCAGACTGGATGGAACAAAAATTGTTGCTGTGGGTGTTTGGGTCTCTCCAGAGGCTCTTTTCTTGGTTATCTAATACCTCCTACTGCACTGAGGGCTGCTGGACAGGACTCAACATACGTGGGCTACTGTCCATCACCCCACAGGCTTGGCCACTTCCCTGGCCTCTTCCATGGAATCATTCATTCCACCCAACAAAAGGCTTAATACAGACACCAGGCCAAATTTTTCATTTAATCACCCAGCCCCAGTGTGCCTCAGTCTTACAGGAAACATCACCATACTGGGGATACCAATATCTAATTGTGCTAATGTCACCCGTTTATCTTTTAAACAACTCCTTCTCCAACATAACCATACTGTGTGGAACAACTGTGTGGTCGGGAATTAATACCTCTTGGAATGCTCTCTGCACTCCAGTTCTGTCGGCCCCGCTTTCTATATAATACCAGGAAATGAGGGAATCCCCATCCCCATAACTAGGACGGCCCAAACCTGACAGAAAAGAGCATTACAGGTGGCCATTATGCCCCTCATATCAGCACTGGGCATAGCAGTAGGTCTGGTTACAGGAACGGCAGGATTGTCCCACTGTGTTGTCCAAGAAAAACACCTGACAGAACAACACGAAGAAGACATTACCCAACTTTCTAAGGTGATCCTGACACTCCAACAACACATCAATTCACACTCTCAGGTGGTCCTGCAGAACAGTCGTGGACTCGAGTTCCTATTCACAGAAAAAGGAGGACTTTGTTTAGCTAACCAAGAAAACTGTTTTTTCTTTGTTAACTAATCAAGAGTGGTACCTGACCAAATCTGCAGACTTCAGGAGAGCCTGGAAAGGCGACGCAGTGAGTGTGAGTCAGGGACTAATGGGGGACTAACTAGCTGGCTCAACAGGCCTCTACTAACTTCTTTACTTCCCTTTATGACCCCTCTATTGGTTATCCTTACTCTGTTGGCGGTCACCCCCTATGTTCTCCATTTTATTCATTCCCAGATCAGCCGCCTTTCTGCTCAAATCTCCGGACGGACGGCTCACCAGAGGATACTTCAGGCCAGAGACCTAAACGAGACCACCGAGTTTACATGGCAGCCAACCAACCAACCATAGCTCAGAGCTCAGCTTGGTTGGAACATTTTCTCAATGATCTTTGAATTGACATTCTCTGGTTTGCTCCCCACCTTTGCCCTGTTGCCCACACAGCAGACTGGGTCACTAACGTGTGGCTCCAACAAACTTTATCGGACTTCACCCCAACTGAAATCACAATCTTTAACTTTTTTACTCGTTTTACTAACCCTCCCACCCAGTCCACAGCCTGGTACATCCCAGGATATTCCTTTGGACTAGAAGATATCCTCAGGACACCCGATCTGTCCCAAAACCCATGGTCCGAAACTTTTCAGGCTCCTCGCCCAAAATTTCCTCCCATATAATTGGGCTTTAATACCTCACCTTACATATCCTCCCCAACACTGTATCTACTGCACACAGGAGGTTGTCTCTATCCTAAGGAGCCCAACACAAAGGGAACAAAAAAGAACCTACTCCCATGGTACTACACTGTTCATCAGGAGGATTTCAGATATTCCTCCAACCCCTCCGAGCACTGTCATATGTCCACACAAGTTCTGTTAAAGCCTGATGGGCCCCAACAAGTGCCTGGCACCTCCTGGTTTCCCTCGGGCTCAGGCATTGCTCTCCTGGTCCACCTGTTCTGCCATGAGCCTGCCTTTCCAAAAGGGTGTACGCTAGAAGATCCCCTTCAGGCAGACTATGGCTTTTATTATGTTCCCATCCTCTTTGTACTGACCTTTCTAGACAGCATACAAGGCTGACCACTTCCTCAGGTCATCACCGAGATATTCCAAGATGGGCTACACAGGGCTCGTAAAGATCGGATAGGGACCTGAGTATGACAACATTGGGAGGCCTGATGTGGGCCTCATAGAAATTATCTTTTACTCCTCTTTGCTCCTTCACTAACTGATTTGTGTGCTTCGACTCTTCTCAGGGAGCCCTACCAACAGTTCCAGTGGGAATGCTACTGCTGTCAACAATTCCATGTTCATAAAGGACAACGCAGCTGCCCGTGGCCCACGCCTGCCCCCAGACAGCTTCGTGGCCCCAATGTCAGCAGAAGTACTTACAAAACACAGACACACGGCCCCTTTTCCCTGGCGTATAATGTGCCAGCTGCTGTCTCCATCTAAACCAAAGAGGGGGGAATGTTAGGGACCTGACACCGCCTCCGTCACAGGCTGCATTCTGCTGGTTCTTCTTGCCTCCTAAAATGACCTCATGCTCTTACCTTTAGTTTCCCTCCCCACAAGGCCACAGTGGTCTGGAGAAGTTAAACCTAAGTTTCTGCAGGACTGAATCCATAAAAGGCAACCTGGCCTGTGATAGCTTAAAAGTAACCCTCTCCTCATAAACAAGCAATAGCCCAGCCTGAAACCAATAAATGGACCTTCCTTTCTTTGTTCGTCTCTTTTTTTTTCTTCTTCTTCTTCTCTTTTCTCTCTCCCTGACCTGCCTTCCCTAATAAAGTCTGCTGTTGGACCTCTTGGTGTGTGGCTGAGTTGTTCAGCATCGCTGCGCCTCTACAGGGATCTTACACTTGCAAGGCAGGCGGCGGCACCACTGAGCTAAATCCCTGGCCCTTGCAATTAACTTTTGAAAGTGACTGTTTTTCTCACCGGTAAGAGCTTTCTACGTGTTCTCCTAATTTTTCATTACTGTCTCCTTACCACACTCATTATTTCTAACCTAATGAAAACATCACAGTCTAACACTGTGATCACCTGTTAAGAGTAACACTATAACAGGATATTTTTTCTACGCACATATTGTATACATTTATGATTTTTTAAACAAACATGAAAGCAAAGTATCCCTGCTATTTTGTGACTTTTTTTCCAGTGGATAATCTTAGTTCTCCATTTCTGTAAGTTTTAAATTCTTTAATTATTCTCAAATGTCTTTTCCGCTATTTTCTTCCCTTCTAGGATAACACATTGTACCTGGTTGCTATCATTTAGTCTTCTCGGTGGAACATGGACCCTTTTTAATTATCCTGACGAAAGACTGGGCAAGTTTTCTTAACATCCTTCCTTCCCAAAGAAGTCTGGCTTCTGTTTTTTGTCACAAAAGCCCCATGACTTCACTCTCTTTCTTAAACATGGTAATTATGTCTCAGTGCCTGTAGGAAAAAAAAAATCTAGAATCTTGCTCTAGCCTATAAAACCACACATATGATCTGGCTTCTGCTGAATGTCTTCAGCTCTGTCTTCTAACCAGAGCTCCTGCAGACTCAGAAGCTTGAATACCTTTGACTAACAGCACAGAGAAGACAAGGACTGTTCATCCGAGTCCAGACAGCCCAGACAATAAGAAAAATTAGCACATTGTTGTTGTGAGGGAGTTCACTTTGGGTGGCTGTTAGGCCCTAAGGAAACAGCCCCTCTTTGTTTCATGTACTGAGTCGCATTTAGGACAGTTCTGGTTTGAATGTGTCCACTAAAATTTCCTGTGCTGGAAACTTAGGCCCCATGCCCAGGTGGTGGGAATCGGGCCCCTTTAGTGCTTGGGCTGTGAGGGCCCTGCCCTGGTGAATGTCTGAACGCCGATACCGTGAGAGGGTGAGGATTCCTGATGAAAGGATGTGCTGGGGCTCCTTCGTTCTCTGTGCATTCCTGTGCTCTCGCCCTCCTGTGCTCTCATTCAGCTTTGATCTTCCATTGACCGCAGCGTGGCACAGAAGCCCCTCACCCAGTGCCAGCCCTTCAGACTTGGGCTCCCAGACTTCAGAACTGAGGCGTTGTGTAACTCACCATGGAACCGACTCATGAGAAATACCCGTTCTTCTTTTCCTGATTGCTGTCCCTCTCCTACCATCATGAGCCTCTGTCTTTTGCCACTTTACCTGTATCTTCAGTGCCTGTGTCAGGGCCTGACCTCCTTCTGGCACTCGAACGATGGAAAGTTACCACACTCGAGAAACTCACCAGAAAACTGCATGGAAGAGCAGAGCGTGGCAGATCTGGAGATCATCAAGGACAACCCTTTCTGGTTAGTGGTGAGGAAATGGGAGAGCTCGGAGAGAGATAAGGGTCATACACTAGAGCGAGGCCTGTAGGACAGGAATCTGCAAATGTAGCCATGTGGGAAGTGGGGGCACTCAGGGAAGAGACACAGACCCAAGGATAAAAAAGTCCTACGAGTGCTCAGAGGTAGGTGCTGTCTGTAGGGCCGGAGTAGAAGCACTCTGGATTTGGAGCTGTTTCGCAAAGTGTCTGCAGTGGGTACAACTGGGCTGCCCGGGAGAGTCTTTGGCACTCTTTGGGTGCTGCCTCTCACCTCCGACCATTCACTGTGACCAGTGATTCCGGGAACATCCAGTCTCTGGTGACGACCTGGACTTTCAGATAAGCTTGGGCTCCCGACGTCAGCTCAACCCGAGCCAGCATCTCCCCCTGAGCTGCGTTTCTCTGCTGCTTTTGTCTGTTTTCCTCTGTGTGTGTGTGTGTGTGTGTGTGTGTGTGCACGCGCGTGCACGCGTGCACGCATGTGTGCCATGTAACTCAGTTTTATTCTGTGACACTGGCCCACAGGCCTACCCTGATTCACTAGCAGCTATTCGATGCTCTACATATGCCAGGCCCCATGCTAGGTGGACCCTCTGTATTATTTCACTTAGAGCTCACAGCAGCTCTTTTATGTAAATGCTGTCGTGGTTCCCATGCACTTATAACTATACCATACATCGAAGAATTCAGGTAACATCACCAAGGTTTATAGCTAAAACAAGTGGAAAAAGTCCTGCATCAAATTTCTACCTACAGATATGCAAATCTTGGCATCTCTCAATGTCTCAATTTTCACAGGCCTCCAAGTGCCAACCTCGGCCAAATAACCCTCCATGTCAGCCCACAGCAAATATCACTAAGAAGTCTTGTTCCTTAGAGTTCAAAGTGACTATTGGGCTTCAGGGGAGAATTAGGGAATAATTACTCGATACATCAATGCTTCCAGTTGGCAGAAGAGAAGTCTATGCCTTAATCTCCCGAAAGCATCTTTCAGATGTGCTAGGACACTAATGGGGAATATAGCTGGGGATGGTAGAGCTACAGAAAGCTGTACCATACAAAGAATAACTTTCTCCATACCTGTATTTTGTCTGTTCGTGGTGGTATAAATATTTAAGTGTATTTACGATTAGAAAATTAGGTTTAAGGAACCCTCAAAACCATTAACTCTGGGGTTCTTCATGAGACATTCTTTTCTATTTCTTCACGATGATACAGTACGCGAAAATATCAGACGCAGTGCCTCTCTGATCTAAGGGGATGCGTTTGTGTTGCTTGTGCCAGGTGTCCTGGCTCTCTGATTGCTTGTACTCCTTCTTGGATTTCTGTGAGTAGCATAGAACTGAGGCTGGAGAAAACAGCACGCTCAAGGTCATACAATTTTCCAGATGAGGGTTCAGTTGTCTGTGAGTTCTGGCACCTAGCACCTTGGTGCTAAAATGTACAACTTCATTCCACATAAGCCCTGCTGCCTCACCGAGGTGGTAGACAGTACAATTGCTTTTTTCTCTCCTGCCTCAGCTGATGCTGAAAGAGTCTCCCCTTTCCCAGACACTTCCCCCACCCCACTCCCTCCTGGTAGCACTGGTTGCTGCCTCCAGACTGGGTTGCCTAGCAACCAAGCTCTGCAGGCTTCCTAACAGACAAAGCCTGTTCCTTCCACTCCAACTGCCGCACTGATGCTCCCGGTTGACAAGGGTACGGCGCCCTGCTGAGCATACGCTGTAATGTGGAGGCTGGCTTGGGGGCTCAGTGCTCAGGGCAGTGGACACCTCTCCTGAGCTGTGAGGTGGGACACACGTTTGAGTATATCCTCATTTTATCCCACAGACTGCTCCTGCCCGAACCCATGACTATGCATGTGTTTCTGCTTGGTTATTCATCAAAAACTGTATGAAAGGGGGCATTCTTTTACAGAGGAATTCTGAGTTCAGATGATAACTCATCACCATCTTGTGGCTCCATACAACCCATAAAAACTCATCTAAGATGTAGAAGCACACAGTCTGAAATAGGAAATTTCCTATATATCAGCTCAGCGACTCAGATTGAAGCCATGCTTGACTTGAAACACTTAATTAAATCCATAGGGAATCGTCGCATCCCTGTCACTGGATCCTAGCAAGATAGACAGAACTCAGAATGGCATTCCCACTTAACAGAAAATGAGGAGTCTCACTCACATAGTCAGGAAAAGGAGACAGTGTATCCTTCAAAACCAGCTCTGCAGAGGCTTCTGATTCTGGGTGCTTTCCAACGCTGGGTCAGATGCATCTTCATGGGAAAAATGACTGTGTATCAGGCTTGCCTGCAGAGATGAAAGGGCAGAGGGTCATTTTCTAAATTACTAAATAAGGTCGAAGAAACGTAACAGTAACTCAGTAAAGCTATGCCCCTCTTTTCTTTCTGCATCAAGACAATCAGCCATCAAACACTGCATTACTGATGTTTGTGTGGCTTTATGGCAGGTCAGTATATGAATGTATTTAGAGGTTCATACAAACCAGGAAATTTTCAATAAGGATGAATGTGAATGAATAGATTCTGCTGCACAGGGCAAGATTTTTTGATTTTTTTTTCCCTTAGGGAAAAGCAAAATGATAATCTGTTAGGACAGATACTGTCCCTGTTTTCTTCATCTTTGTGTTGTCCACAAGTCTGGGTCCCAAGCATACAGTCATACAAAAAGAGGAAAAAACACAGAAGGGTCCAGGGTTACTCAGTGCAGCCCACACTCTTTCTTCCAGTTAGACTAACATTCAGAATCAGGAAAACCTTTCTAGCCTTTTGACATCACTAAATTCTTGTAACACTTTCTGGAAGGGAAACAACAGATATTCCAAGAATGTGCCCCTCCTGTACAATACTGTGTTATTGTTTGTTTTTTAACCTTTATTAGTCCATGTTTACAGTACATAATGATTACATTCACTGTAGGGAAATGGAATATATATATATGATGTGCTTCAATTCCCTTCCTTTTAAATTCTCCTGCCAATAAACATCGTTGCATCATTCAAGACAATGACCATCACATATGCTTTACTTATTTAATTCTATGATTTACTGTCTTTGGAGAATGTTAATCAGTGCATACAACATAATGGTAGAGAGCACATAATGTAGACCCACACCTTCCTAGGTGAAAGGCCACCTTTCCTCGTGGTAGATGACTACCAGGCTCCTTTAAACCAGTTTCCTTACAGGCATAGAGGAGATGATCATAACACCTATGTCAGCATGCAACTGTGAGCCCTTCATGGGATCCTGCTCTTACCGGGTTTTATCTGTGAACTGCAATATGAGGTTCAAGACATTTAATGTTACTGACACAGAATGGGAGTTTGAATAAATATGTGGCTTTTTTTCTTTTGTTTTGTTTTTTTTGAGGTGTCCATGTTCTTTGACCAAACCTGAAGATTTTTCAACCAATGTATGAAAAGAATTCCTAGTATACCCCCAAGAAACACACGTTCAGACAGCATTTAACAAAACGCAGCATTTTTGAGGTCGAGGGAAAGAATTCCAGAGAAGCATCACTGTAGACGTGTCCACCAAGGAGGTGCTGTTGCTGCACCACTCTAACTTTTGTCCTTCTCCCCTTGCACTGGGAGGAGGAGATACTGAGCACACAATGTTCCTGCCCCTCCCTAGGCTAGACAGCACCATACATGTTTTTCTATCACATGCTAGATTTTTCTGATGCCATCTGTTCTCCGGGGCCTACTGCACACAGTTTGCTTGCTGTCACAACTCTATTTGAAAATGTCGAGAACAAATGTGATGAATGATTCCAAGGAATGTTGTTTACCTCCTAACCATCTAGCAGGGTGTGGTTGGGAATTGGGGGTTCGTAGTAATCCTGGCCCTTCCAAGAGTGGGGTTCTATCATGAGCCCGATCTAACACATCCCAAAGTTTGGATGACAGCGAGTAGGGTTTATTCCAAGGAGTTCCAATCCCAAAAAGATCTATTGCAACTGATTCCTTCAGAGCTCTTCTTTGAGGAGTACTTATGAAGTGTGATAAAAAAAAATGTTGTGAATGTTTAAATGTTTTAAAAATTATTACAACAAAAGACATGGCCTTTAATCATACTCAAAATACCTTTGCCTCAAACACATTTAACCTATTGCTCCCGACAACTTCCTGAAGCAATCCTGTAACTCTTTCTTGCGTGTCTTTAGCTAATGGTCTACACTGATTCAAAATGTTTACTTCTGCGGTCATTTTGGCTTTGGAGAAAAGCCAGAAGTTGCGCAGTGCCAGATCCAGCGGACAAGGACAGACCACAATGTTTTTAGGAGCCTTCCTTTTCAATGAATGGCACTCAGCAGCAATATTTACCATAATTTTTACCATGCCTCAAAAGACACAAAGCAGACTTCCAGACAGGAAGACTGTGTTCAAAGGGAGGGGGAGTATTTTGAGGGGGCTTAATGGCAATGTGCGTTCTATTGTAATATTGTTTTAAAATTTAAATATTCATATATATTTTGATCACACCTTTTCGTTTCCACTAGGCTCTATGTTAACCACCTTCTACACAGTGTGAAGACCCATAACAACGAACCCCCACAGAAATCCTAACAAGAAGAAAGATAACTGTTATCGTCTGCCTGTATAGCTAAGAAAACAGTGGCTTGGGAAGATGAAGGAATTTTCTCATAGACACAGTACTAACAAACAGTACTGCTTCCAGAAATAATCTCCTTGACCAATGCATACACTGTTTTCACAAGGAATATAAACCAGTTGGCCTACGTGTTTCTGGTCCCACCACTGGGACGACTGCTTCTCCTGTACTCACAGTTCTAGATTGCTCTTGTCATAACCCAAAACTGGAAGCTTATGAAAAGCAGAGACTGAGAAATTTGTGTACACAAACCACGCCCTTGGCCTTTGAGTATACACAATAGGTGCTAAGTAAAAACTACGGGCAGAAGATCCACCAAATGCAAACGATCGGCAGCATGATAGAATTTTTTATCTCCAAAATGGGGACAGACCTGGAAGAGAAAGGTTTCACTAAACTCTACGCCAGGATAACAGCTGTAAAGTGTGGTCATCTTGGGCCATGTTGATCTGAGTGCCCTAGTTGTGATTTCCATCCTGTTCTCTTCATCCAGTGTCAAGAGTTTCCTCTGCATTAAAGGTTAAGAGAGGCTTGGCAACAGGTAAATTGGAGACACTAAAAAACAGAGCCATCATATATATACTAAACACAAACTCCAGAACACAGACCGTCAGAAAGAAAAGCTGGGTGTCGCCCTGATTTTGTTTCCCTTTTATAAATGTGGTGTGATTTTTCCCCCCACTCCTCAGCAGATGCTACCTGATTTGTGCCCTGGCTAATGTCACTCACGTCAAGAACGTTGCCAAATGCACTGAGGTGCAACTGACACCAGGAAGGGTGATGAACAAGGAGAATGGCAGCTGGCTCCATTCCCCTCTTGTAGAATTTTAATGAGTCAAGGAGCATCCTGACAGAGTACATCTGCACGTGCTGGAGCCAAGCAGAATGCTCTCATCTCAAATTCTGAGATCTGAGGGCCTTGAATTGCCTCCCCGGCACCCCCCAGCCATGGTAAGGTGGATGGGTCCTGCACCTGGGAGGGCTCCAGGAAGAGGAGAGGCAGCACCAGAGCTGTGGAAAGAGCTACAGAAGAGTAGTGAGGTGCTCTGTGGGTCCCCTTCCTGTGTGCTACTCACTGGTTTTGTGACTTAGGGGAAATCTTTGTTTTGAGACTCTTTATTACTAGTGAACATGGCCTAAATCGACCTTGAGCGAAAACAATTGTTTAAAACCTTACTTCAAAGATCCATAGGCATTTCATAGAAACCAAATACAGTAATACAACAGGGCTTCCAAGACTGGGTAAGGGATAGAAAGCAACTGAAGGGACTCATTCTCCTTGCATTACTGCTCTTCTCCTTCCTCCTTCCTCCTTCCTCCCTCTTCCCTCCTCTTCCCTCCTCCTCCTCCTCCTCCCCCTTCTCCTCCTCTTCCTCTTCCTTCTTCTTCTCTCCCAGTCTCATTTTTTCCTTGTTAGTCTACCTAGTCAAAGACAAGATTATTCAAGTTTTCCTAGCGTAAGCCTAACTGCAAGAATTTGATATCATGCCTAGGCCCTACTGCCATGACTCAATTCATAGGGACCAGTGTGCACTGCAGAGAACTGTGTGTGAATTGAGACAAATTCAAGTGCCCAGTGCCTGATCTCACTTTATTCACTGTAAAATCTAACCTCACCCAAAAAGTACAGAGTGTGTATATTCACGTTATAGGTATCACACTTGAGAGCACTTCTGTGACCTGATAGATCGAGAAGACCTGCCACGACAGGGGCACTGTTTGTGACGTGAAACGACATTTTCAGAGGTATACACTTCTTTGGGAACTTTATCAATAAAAGCTGACCTTCCTTCATGTGGTTATGAATCGTAGGACGGAAAACATAAAGGAAAAGATGTGTGACATGCAAAGGGTTTTATATGTACCATGCACTCGCTTTCTACTTAGGCTGGGAGTCAAATGGAAAGCAACTATATTTAGGCCCACATCTAGTCGATCCCCAAGGTATAGTCTTCCTTCCTCCGAAACCTGGTAGGTCAAAACCTTCACTCAAAGAAAAGAAAAGCTTCCTCAGTGCTTACGCTGTCACCTCAGACTTAACTGACAGGCCAGAACCCTCTCCTCCTCAAGGTTTATAATTAATTTCCTTATCTGTATTATGTAAATGGTACCTTATAAAATTTCATATTCATAATTGTTATTAAAAAACTCAGACATTACTTCTCTAGGCTCTGAGATAATTACTAGAACTGTAAACAGAGCATAAGGGGCACAGAAAATATGACTATTCAATGATACTGACAGATTTTGTTTGACCTGCCATGATTATTAATATTAACATTCTTTTTGCCAGGGCACTTGTCAACATGGGTACTAAATATGAGGCAAGGGAGAATCCTTTACCAAAAATTTAGGGATGACACTTCAAAAGGAAAGGAGCCCTGTACCAGTAGTCAATGAGGTGGGCTGGGCATTTAGCTCAGTGGTTCCGCTGCCCGCCTCACAAGCGCAAAGACCAGAGTTTGATCCCCGGTACCAGAAAAAAAAAAAAAAAATCAATCAGCAGATCTACTCTGAGGTCTATGAATATTCTAGAAGTATTTTATTATAGACCTTTCCAATATGTCTTACCAAATATTTCCCTTTGTTTTTCAACAATGACAGAAAAGACTGGTGTAAAGAGCTCTAGGATCTAATTTGACCCTAAAATGTGTGACAGTCCATGAATTCCTC